TGTATGTGTGTGTACGTCCTTTGGCACTGGATACCCTGTACATATCGTTTTTCCACGGTAACTGTAGTGTGATTGTTTTTGTTTTTATTTTTGTTTTTGTTTTGTTTGCTTTGAGTCTATTTTTTTGTCACAGGATTCCCTGTGTATACCTTACCCACATAGTTACCACGGCGTCTTTTAACACCGGAATCCCTGTGTGTATCCTATCTCTCTAGTTACCTTGGCATAATAATATTTTGAGTTGGCGATTGGCAGGAACTCTGATTTTGTTTGCTCCTTCTTTCCTATAAAACATCTATTGTCCATACCTCCTCGTCTTCTTTTGTGTTTGTTACTCTCTAGTAATACATAATGTGTAGTTGGCGTGTGCTCCGGCATGGTTTGCTCCTTTTTTCCTATAAAAAATATATCGTTTCTATCTCTCCTCTTTTACTTTGTATGTTACTCTCTAGTGATACCTCCAATCCTCGAAACTTATACGATCTACTTGAGCTGCAAGATTCATAAAACTCTTAATAAAACTTTAAAAATCTTGTAACACCTCTTATCTTCGGAACTTATATGACCTTACTACGTCGCAAGTGATATGACAGGCTAACTAAAACTTTAAAAAGGCGTCTTTTGACACCGATTCCCCTTGTTTGTCTATCCCATAGTAACCGGAGACATGGCCCGTCCATCATCCCATACTTGTGCGGGGAACTGAAAGACTGGAAGAAGCCAGTATTCGGACACAAGTGTTGGATCAGGAAGTGAACTTTGCCCTCTCCGGACACAGGAAGGAATACACATGCACTGAGAACGAAACGAACAAAAAAGTAAGTACATCGGTAGCAGTGAGTGGCAATTGCAAATGAAATATGTTTTACCACACAGTTAAGATAATAGAAGGCGGGCTGCGTCGACTCTGCCTGTCAGAGTTGGAGTCAGGTTGAGATGGACACAGCATCTCAGCAGACAGACAAAGATCAAGCTTGATCAAAGAACCTCCCGACACAGGAATCGAACTCATGCCTTCTGCGTGCAACGATGAAGAGCCCTCTGTTACACTGCAGGCGCCAGTCAGCTGTAGGTGTACTTTAGTATAGAGGACTTATTGATACGTAATTTGGCATTGCTTCGTTAAGCAGATTCGTTAAAAAAAAAGAATAACCACCCCCCCCCAAAAAAAAAACAACAACAACATGGGGGCAGGGAATCAAATAAAATAACCTTTCTTTTGTTTTAAATTTCAACTGATAGACTTATTGCGCTACTTCCTGGGTCACCGTGGAGATCACACAAGGTTTTTACTACGTCTTACGGGAAGGGAAATAGCGAGCTGTGATCGTTGTGCTGCTCGAAGACACAGGAGCTATACTTCACTTTTGTTATGTTTCATTTCCTCTGTCTTGTTTCTTTTTTCCCCTGCTCTAAATCTTATTGCAAAGACAAGAGAGTAGGTGATTGGAGCACAATAAATAGTTTCATAAATTGATTTAGGTGAAACATAAATTGTATAATTTTGACTTATATAAGATATTGGATTAAATCGAGATAACCTGGGTGGGGTAACCGCATTCCTTTTTCTAAGGAACTATTTCTATCAAATGCAACTATTAAAAAGTCATGGCGACATAAGGTATCTTAAATTTACATTAATTTTAGACTGTCAAAAAGAAGTGTAATTTTGTTTTCTTTTGTTTTGAGTGTCTTTATTTTGTTTTATTATTGGGGGGGGGGTTCGTTTTGTTTTGTTTTTTTCAAAATCTGCACTCTTTCTACCTGGTGGTGATTATTGCTCGGAAAGCGCGAGATCGCTTATTATGGTTGCCTGATTACATTCGTTTTAGCAGCGAAAGAGCCTTTCAAAGAAATCTAGACAAGTCTTCAACGAGTCTAGCTCTAGAGCATTAAGTGCAAGTATTCCAAAAACAAGCAAGCTAAAACAGAAATTTGCATAGAGTGAAAGCTGAGAATAGCTGACGTGGAATCAAAGGGGGAGTGGGATTTGATTTGAAGAAAAGAGAGGCATAAAAGGCGCGATATTGTGACTGCTTTCGTCCAATGGAGAAATGCATAGATCATAATACTCGGGTTCTTTGATCAATTCAAATTAAACGTAGAGTTGAAAAAAAAGACAACAAAAGTTTTGCCCCTCTGCGATTAATTAAAGGTAATTCTTGTGACATTTGTTTTAAAAAATGTGTATAACTTAACGAGAAGACAATTCCTGCCGAATCTCCAATAATTGATTGTCTAAGTATGTAAATTGAGTCAATGGCACAACGCATCTCTCTTCTCTCTTTCTCCTTCTTTCTCCCTTTCTCTCTCTCTCTCTCCCTCTCTCTCTCTATCTCTCTTTCTCTCTCTCTCTCTCTCTCTCTCTCTCTCTTTCTCTCTCTGTCTCTATATCCCCCTCTCTCCCTATCCCTCTCGTTTTCGTACTCTATATCTGCCTCGGACTCTGTCTGTCTGTCTGTCTATCTGTCTATCTGTTTGTCTCTCTATCAGACTGTCTATCTATCTATCTATCTATTTATCTATCTATCTATCTATCTATCTATCTATCTATCTAACTATCTATCTATCTATCTATCTATCTATCTATCTATCTGTCTGCCTGTCTTCTTGATTTCTTGATACCGAGGTACCTGTTTGTCTGTTTGTCTCCAGGCTGTTGCTATTAAAATTTGTATTTTTGCTTTAAGTAAGGAACGAGTAACCCTCACTGGTTACATGAAAAGACTACCAAATATTTCCCTTGCTGAGTTTCAAGGTTTGGTTAGTTTTACGATAGCCACGCGCTGCTTTTACTGAGTTGTGTAAAACATATTTTCCCCGTGTCTCTTTCGCAGGCGACAGCAATTCGAAAGTTGATACCACAGGTGGTAAAAACAGCCGACCCCTGAACGTGAAAACACATTAATTTTTGTGTTAATTCTCTTGGCCTGAGGAACTGTTTTACTTTTCCCTACCAAAAAAATTTAAGCTAAATCGTGCGAAGTGATATCGTCAAACCGAGTTTTAAAATGATATTGGCCTAATAATATTACTAACACATCCCGCACGCACACGCACACGCGCACGCACACACACACACACACACACACACACACACACACACACACACACACACACACACACACACACACATGTACGGTGGGAAAAAAATAAATTATAAATCGACTGTCTGGTCATGACAAAAACTTTTTGTAAAAGTTCACCTGACAATTTCGTTTGTCTTTTTGTCTCTGTTGAGCACATTTACATTGTGCTGTTTGTCTGCTTTTATCTTTTTTCTCTAATTATCAGTATTATTAGTAGTAGTTGTAGTATTATTTATTTTTTTTATTATTATTA